TGGCATCTTCTCTTGGACCAGCCATGCGCAGAAGACAATTGCTCACTCGTCTACAGAGGCTGAGTATATGGCATTGTCTGATTGCAGCCGTCAAGTGGTTTGGATCCGTAATCTACTTGAAGAACTAGGCTATAAGCTTGACGCTATTCCTATTGCTGGAGATAATCAAGGATCCATTTTCATGGCATCAAATCCTGTCACTAGAAAGCACTCGAAACACATTGACATCCGGTATCATTATATCCGTGAAGTTGTTGAACGTGGCCTTGTGCAAGTATTCTTCGTAGATGGCAGTAACAACCCTGCAGATCTTTTCACAAAGAATCTTGGGCGTATCAAATTTGAGCTATTCCGCTCAATGCTTGGACTTGAGTTCTACTCGTCCACCAATCCTTAGGCTGTCTGCCCTGCCTGACGCCTACCGCTATTGCTTCGAGCAAAGTACTTTACTGTGCTGCTCAGCAAGGGGGTGTGTTGAACGCAGCTATGCTGTTCACATGCCACTATTATGATCATGTGTTATGATATGTCATATGTAGTCATATGTAGTCATTTACTATATGCGGATTCCTCAGTACTTCCTTATGTAATTCTGTCATACAGTTATGTATATAAACAGGCCATATCCTGTACTGGAATTGAACTCGCTTCTCTCTTACTTTTATTGCCTCACTGAGACACTAAGCTCTACTACCAGGTATGGTGCTGGAGAGTGTTCCCACTATGCACTCCTTGCCTGCTCAACAACTTCCTTATTGACAGCCCATGATGATGCTGGATTTTCACCTGCCAAGCTCATTGATTATGCCTCTGATTATTCAGACGCAAGTGAAGAGGAGGATGACCTGGTGGAGGACATAAGCGCAACAGGCAAAGAAGATAGCGAGGTCATCACAGACCTGGTCAAACTCAAATAGAAAGCATAAGCTGTTGCCAACAGTGGTCCCACACAAATGGCAGTTGCTTGATGTTCCTTGGTGCACTGTACGGAAGGAAAAGAAAGCAGAGAAGTTGAAAGTATTAACAAAGGCTTTCAAAGATCTTCATAAACTCATCCACTCACCAAAAACCACATTCACTGGTGGTCCTAACAGACTGCAATCTTATTGGGCCTGCGCCATTTGCAGTAATCTCCAGATGCAGGTGAAGCAAGGTTTACACAGCATTGCAGCATCACACCATACGGCACTGAGCCACAGATTCTCAGTGAATAATAGTGGTTGGAATGTTTGAAAGTGGACTCAAGATTGGGTCCAGAGTGGCTGTCTGCCTTGCTCAAGGCAAGGATGTCATTCCAAGGTCTATTTGCTGCTTGATGATCCTGCAATAAAGACCAAACTCCATGCATATGTTTGCAGTCATAAATGGTGTATGAACCCTCAGAAGCTGGCTCAGTTTACATTGGGGGAGCTCATTCCCAAAGAAGCCACTAAATATCTTCAGAACATGCATAAAAAATGGGAAAAATCATTGCAGGCACGATTGGTATGAAGCCATCAGTCTCGCTGCTTGATTCAAATTTGAAGCGGATCCGATGCATAGCTGGAGAGATATGGAGAATGACATTCTGCATCAGATTAAGCATACTGGACAGTCAAAGATGAGCTTCTTGCATGTACTGTGCTCCAAGGCATCACACATGGCTTGAAAAAAGTAATGAACTTTGTCCTCATGCCCATCAAAAGATGAAAGGAGCAGGTGAACCGCAACACAGACTTGCATTCCTCAAAATGAAGCCTGAAATAATTAAGAATTTCATGTGATTTTGCTGACTGCGCCAAACAATTAATTTATTGTTGACTATCCATCCTTTTGATCATCTCCAAAGCATGTTCAGAGCATTTTTTACAGTCGCTCTACATAAATGATGTCACATTTCTAACTTTAAACAAGTATTACAGCCTGCGGATGGCAGATGATTCATTTCATAGTCTGACTCACTTCTAGGCCCCCCCTAGTGAATGACAGAAGAACTTCTTGCCAAAGATGGAGGCTCATGTGAGACGGCTGGTACAATATGTTATAGGAGATGTAGGGAAGGAATTGTCATGTGTACAGAATTATGTTAAATGACGGCTTGTGTTACTGGCTCGTGATAAGATGACAGCACAGGCAAATGATGCTCAGGTGAAGTGTTGGGTTTTTCAGAATCAGCACAACACGCGTGCTTCCTGCAAGATCCCTGTACAGAGCTCATTGTTGGAGAACCATGAGCTGACCTTTTGATTGTACCACAATTGATTGCATACCTTCCTCAAGAATTAAATAGGGTATAATTTTGTTTTCTTTTAGCTCACAAAAAACAAGATTTGCTGATTTCCAACGGCTGTAGGAATTTGAATTGCCCCACAAGCATGCTGTTTATTTTGTATTGAGGAGAGAGAGTTTCTTCCAAGCTGCAATGCTGAATTAAAACCAATAATTTTTGGTGGAATAGGATACTAGATTATTGGATAGATTACAGTAAGGTAGTGTTAAGATTATGCAGAGAGGTCTTAATACATGTGGTATATATAGTCCCAACCACCTATGACAATTATCCTGTCATAGTAGCCTTTTGGCTCAGTTGGATTTTGTGTTAGTGGTTGGGCATGAATTTCACAGGTGGATTTTTTGAGGTAGTCCCATGTGTCCACCAACAGTTGTGATTAATATTGAGGCCTAAAAGAAACTGTCCTCTATAGTAGGGAAAATCAATGAACTTGTTTGGGATACAAATTAGCAGGAACGAGAATCAAAATTCCAGGCAGTGCAACAAAGAGAACTTGGCAGAGGTCGCAGTCGTGGATGTGGACATGGACACGGACATATTCAAAAAGGGTGGGGACGAGGACAGACCCAGGCTATGGCAGACCAGTCTGAAAACTCAAGTTCAGAGACATCCTTATTGAATCACACAGATCAAGCACCTGAAAATGATAACTCAATGGATTCGGACTTGAATTTTAAAGCTGCTCTCACTTCATCTGTTCCCACTGCAACTCAAACAAGCACATCCAAGGCTTAAACCTCAGCCTATTCCCTCTTCTGATTCCAACTCCCATAGCTTGCATCCTGTAGACTCTCATGAGTCATTTGATGTACCAATTACTGGTGACCCAGGGACTGACAATGCCAAGGATCCTCAGATGAGCTTTGAAGAAGAGGATAATGGGGAAAGCAAAGAAGATGAGGCAGTTGAAACAGCGATTTGGTCAATTTTGGGCCATAAATGGATTGGGCAGGGCTTGATGTTCATGGTAGAATGGATCGACAATGATGTTACCTGGGAGTTTCTTTTGAACATCAAGGATTGTGTGGCCCTGGATGATTATTTGGTCCATCATGGCTTAGCTGAGCCTTCAAAACTATCCAAGAAGATGTATCTTGTAAGTAGAAAATGATAAATTGGTTGTATATAAATATGCATGGTAGGAAAGATAGTTCTATGACAATGGAGAAGCCGTTCCAACTTGGCTGCTCCTAGTTACCTTCTTCTCTACTCTTGATCTCCAGGGACTAGCGGTGTAACAGTGGTGAAGCATGAAGGGGAAGTAAAGGCATGGGAAATAGAGAGTGCACAGCTTTGAGAAAAGGGTAAAAGCAAAAGACTTGCCTCAAAAACCAGCTCATATCAGCAAGAAGGCACTCACAAACCTTCATCTCCAGAACAAACTGGAACCAGATTCACTGAGCAATACTGATGATGACTCACAGAGCAATAGCAGTGAAAGTGATTAAATGGCGGCTAACCAGATAAGCTCGCCACGATGATGAAATAGCTGTGCACGTAACACTGTCATGCTGTCTCTGAGCCCAAAAGCATGACAAATCAGCAATATTCTTAGTTAATTCCCCTCAATTGCATTTTTCCTCTCAGAGCTTTTTGAAGTACCACAAACCCCTCTAAATACACTTTGCATAATACCATGATACCCAGTTTCAAAACAAAAGATACAGGTCAAAAGTCGCAACAAATATATGAAGTTTTGTATCAAGGAACCCTCGAACACTGTATGCAATGGATGTTGAGCATAATCATAGTGGAACATAATGCAGGAGGAATGTGTCAAAGGGTAGTTGTGATAGGCAGGGTGTACTAATAGCAAAAATATACATGTTACATAGCATATGTTATGATGGAGCATGGGTTGGACTGTAAGTGAAGTCATTAACATCATAGTGGTTAGAACCATGCATTTGTGTTTGGTAATGCTTGGTCTAGTTTGTTGCAAAGAGTGGCACCAAGCAAGACCAAAACGTGCCTGCACAAAACAACTTAACTTCCGGAGTGCAATAGACCTTGCAAGCAAGGTGATTGCGCGCAAGAGCATGAAAGTCGGTATGTTAAGGATAGAGCAATTTTGCATAATTTATAATGTATTACTTTCAACAAGTTTAGTGACTATTTGAGCTTCACACTTGTATACTATTGCATCTAGATGCTCTGAATTAAATTTGTTACATCAATTAGAAAAGATTTGGTGTTGAGTACAAGCACAAATTTCAACCAGTCATCAATTAGTGTCTCAAGTGGTGACAACTTATGATTTTTGATACAATATTTGTTGTTCCAGGATCTCAAATGACTCAGTTGAGATGGCTCTTAAAATCATTGTTAGATGTATGGTTTGCCCTTCCACAAGAAGTGTTTTTCCTCCCATCTGGTCATTCTTTCTGCTTTTTCTTTGTATTTGTTTCATCTTTGTATCATTTTCCATCATTGCCACAACCTCATCCTCTTGCCATCAGTGAGTTTCCATTGGAATCCAACTCGTATCTTCATCAGAATTTAACCACTTTTGTAGAAACATGTCCGGACTTGATCCAGGTCAAGTTGAGGCCTTCCTCTGAAGTCACCCCGGCCTCCTTGCACAGCTTTTTCAGCAATCACAAGTTTCTGCGCATTCTACTCAGCCTCTGTCACCTGGTGTCATCACCTTGGATCCAACTGCAGCCGTTACTCATCATGGCGGAGCAAGCAGCATCTCAGCCTAGTGATAGCACTACTGTGCCGGGAGCTGTTACATCTGCTTCATCGACCATGTCGGGGGTCATGGCTCCTGCTCCTTCCGTTGGGATCTCTTCCAATCGGGCAGTGCAATCATTGTATTCTTTTAATCAACCCAATCCTTCTTCACCCATGAACCCCTCAACATCTTAGCCAAATTCCTTTATCCCTACTCCTCTAATCATTCCGCACTCTGGTGTCCAGCCCAGTCCTCCTATTGCTCCTGCACCTCTGATGACTCCATACTCTGGTGTCCATATGATGCTGGGACAGGTTGGGCAAGGGCATCCTCAGACAGTCACAGCCTTCCCTAGCATTAACTCCTTGTTGTTGGCATTACTGCCACTCTGACCCTCTCTTCTCTACTCTCGATCTCCGGGGACTAGCGGTGTAACGGCGGTGTTGTTAATAACTTCACTACTGTCCCATTCTGTTACGATCATGTACACCGTGTAACCGTGCCAGAGGCCACAAAGTGTCTAAGGGCGGAGGGTCGAATGAGACAGTAGTGAAGTTATTAACAACACCGCTGTTACACTGCTAGTCCCCGGAGATTGAGAGTAGAGAAGAGAGGAGCCAGAAGCAGCCAAGTCGGAGTGGCAGTAACACCGACAACGAGGAGTGAACCAGAGAACTTTAAGTCCTGAGGTTAGAGTAAGGAGAGCTTCAAGGTGACGAGCCTGAAGACTTAGCGGACAAGAGAAGGAGACCTAGGGTGGTCCTAAGTTGATAATTAAACTGAGGGACTACAGTAGAGTACAGGCAGTATTTATATCTACAGATTGGCGCATTGGAGTGGAGCGCCAGACTAACTACTAGGAGCTATACGTGTAGTACCTGCAGGGTAGAGCATAAGACAATAAGAGAGAGGATAAAACAATAAGGAAGAGACTAGGTAGAAAGGGAATGTGTAGCAAGAAAGAACAATAAGAATGAGATTACAGTAAATGGTGTATCTCGGAATACCAAGCAGCGGAGCAGGACACCGAGGCATGGACTTGACAAACTTGCATATTGTGTATTAGATTGGTTGGTTGGAGTGCCCTTTCTGTTTCACAAAAAAACAAGGCAAGCTCATTACTGGCCCAAGTATGAACACTTCACCTTGGCATCATGTCAGGGCTTACAAATGATTGAACTCCTCTTGCTAGCCTGCATAAGGCAAAGGAGTTTGTTCTTGCACTGTTCACAGGATGCACACTCTTTGTTGTTGTTGTCATTGTCATTGCCATCTCTGCCATTGTCTGGATCTCTGCCAGCAGCCTGGGAATCACAAGTCAATGGGAAAAACAAACTCAAATCAAGAAAACAAGGGTGTACCTTGGCCTGTGCTGTCCCTGTTCCTTTTCCCTTTGTTGCCTTCAGGATCTCTGCCACTGGCCTCCGTAGTGAGGCAGAAACCTTGCTCAACAAGGTCCCCCATTGACTTTTTGCTGTTGCTGCCTCTACTAATCTCCTTCTTCTTTCTACTACCTCCTCCTCCTGCTGTTGAGCCTGCTCCACCTGGTCCTGCACCTCCTGCACTGCTTTCCTTTGAGCCACCTTGGCCCAAGCAGCTGCCTCCTTCTTTCACTTTTCCTCTTCTGCTGCCTTTGTTGCAGCCTCCTCTTCAGCCCTCTTCTTGGCTTCCTCCTCTGCCTTCCTCCCTTTCACATTCTTCATCTTCTCCCTTGCCTCCTTCATGATCCACTCCAACTCCTGATCTTCATCTTAAATGACAGTGGGATTGGCAGTAGGATTGGCAGTCATTGGAGCTATGAGTTTTAACAATGAAAAACTGGCAGAGGATTGGTAATGGTTGTGGTGATGGTGCAGCTAGTCAACATGATCAGGGACTGAGAAAAATTTGGGAATTTGGGTTCTACAGCGGTAAAACCCTGGGCCTTTTATATGGAAAAAAACAGTGCACAGACCAGCTCTGAGACTTTATTTGATTAAACTGTTGGCCTGCAGATTTCTTTGAATTTTAATTTTCAACAACTATCATTTAGTTGATGGGATCAATCCTTGGTGATGGCTTTTGAGAGCTCAAACCTAAGAGGGGGATACTGTCAAGACCATGCCTCAGCACATTGCTCTGGCTCTTGGCCTTCCAAGATCTGTCTTTATTGTAATCTTCTCTTATTGTTCTTTCTCACTACATATTCCCTTTCTTACTAGTCTACTTCTATTGTCGTATTCTCTACCCTGGAGGCACTAGATGTACAGCCTCTAGTAATAGTCTAGTGCTCTGCCCCAATACACTAATTAGTTAGTATAAATACTCCTGTACTGTACTTTAGTTCTTCAGTTTGATTATTGACTTAGATTCCCTACTTTCTCTGACCTCTGAGTTCTAAGGTTTGTCACCTTGACCTTAAGACTTACAAGTCCTTTGGTCTGCTTCTAGTCATTGGTGTTACTGCCATACTCAGCTTGGCTGCTACTTGTGTCTCTTTCCTCTCTCTCCTCTGGGGACAGATGGTGTAACAGTGGTGTTGTTAATAAGTTCACTACTGTCCCACTTGATTCTATTAACTTAGACACTGACCAGCCCTTCATCTCCAAAGGCACGGCTTGTTGGTATACATGATCTTAACAATGACTCATTTTCAAATACACCTTCATATTATATGTTGAGAGAAGATACATATATTTGTTAAAGGTATTACAGTGTGGATATAAAAAGTACGTTTATACATGGATTCATACATGATATTGCAGTATTCTTGTGCTATGTTATTGTGATTGTTAAAGCTTAATGGTGACTTGAAGGAAAAGCACTTGCCATGTAAAATTTTCCAGACTAGGGCATAAGCTTAATACAGTGGAACATCTTTCCATTCACCAAGAGAATACAACAGAAAATTGTATGGGAGGCAAAATAATGGAATCGCCTTATACAATGCACTTGACCCAATCTTCATCATAAACACAACCTTTTAGTAAAAACTTGGTAAATCCCTTACTTGAAATGATGCACTGGGTTTTGGCTGTCCATAAAGTTTTGCAGAAGGGAATTGGAATCCAAACAATAGGTTGAGGGATATGTGGGAGGAAAATCCAGCCATCCTCAGTTATAGTCCAATGCAAATCTGGAGCAAGAGGTCAGTCAATATACAAAGCAGAGCCAAAGATAACTTACCATCATAAGATATGATAGATTGGGACCTGTGTACAGGGTCCGACAATGATTCAGTACTATCTCTGAATATTAAAGTATCATCATCAGAAAGAATCTCAATGTCATTAGATGCATATGTAGCTGAATTAACTTGATGAACATGGTACTGCAGAGAAGATCCAATTTCAGGGCCAGTTATCCTCAAGGTCTCATCCTGAAACCCAGAGAGTCTGGTTCCATCATGTGAAAATGCAACTGAGTTGACATTATAAGGATGGCCCTGCAGAGGCTCATCAATCTGAGTTCCAGTCCTGGCATCGTAGATTCTCAATGCCATATCTTCAGAACCAGACACAATTCTGGTTCCATCAGGTGAAAATGAAACTGAGGTGACAAAGTCAGTATGGCCCTGCAAAGGGACACTCATCTGAATTCCAGTCCTGGCATCCCAGATCCTCAATGTGTTATCCCCAGAGCCAGACACAATTCTGGTTCCATCAGGGGAAAATGCAACTGAGTTGACCCAGTTATCATGCCTCTGCAAAGGCTCACCAATCTGAGTTCCAGTACTGGCATCCCAAATTTTCAATGTCTCATCATCAGAGCCAGACACAATTCTGGTTCCATCAGGTGCAAATGCAACTGAGGTAATGGAATCAGCATGGCCCTGCAGAGGCTCACCAATCTGGGTTCCAGTTCTGGCATTCCAGATGTTCAATGTCTCATCATCAGAGCCAGACACAATTCTGGTTCCATCAGGTGAAAATGAAACTGAGGTAACAGAATCAGCATGACCCTGCAGAGGTACACTCATCTGGGTTTCAGTCCTGGCATCCCAGATCCTCAATGTCTTATCCCCAGAGCCAGACACAATTCTGGTTCCATCAGGTGAAAATGCAACTGAGTTGACATAATCAGTATGACCCTGCAGAGGCTCACCAATCTGAGTTCCAGTCTTGGCATCCCAGATTCTCAATGTCTTATCCCAAGAGCCAGACACAATTCTGGTTCCATCAGGTGAAAATGCAACTGCAGTGACCCAATTATCATGACCCTGCAGAGGCTCACCAATCTGAGTTCCAGTCTTGGCATCCCATATTCTGATGCTATAATCATCACAACCAGTGACTATTTTATCCCCAATTGGTGAAAAATGCACACTCCTCACGCTTCTGGACACATTTACAGTCACAGTGGTTTCTGGAAGCCAATTCATCACCCGGTTTATCAATTTGACACCTCTCTGCAGTTTGGGTTTACAGCCAACATTGTTTTCCCAAAATGGCATGATGCTCAGATACAAATGTGGTGTCATTCCATAAACATCACCATTAATGAACTGTTTAATCAAATTTTGAAGGTATCCCACTATCTTCTGAATACTTGGGTGATCTGCATTGTTGTTGCTTGTTCCAAGTATTGCATCCAACATCTTACTGCATCTGGGCAATGATTTCAGTAAGCTCATAGCCTCTAACCAATATATCCCTTTTTCAATCAAAATCTCTTTTACTCTCTGAAACAATTCATCTGTTTGACCAATCTCAAAACGGTCTGTCCAGAATTGACAGCAATAGTTGAGTGTCTCAGGAATTTTTTTCGAAACTTTGTCCTTGAATCCTGGCACATCATCATCCTTCATAAATGAAGAAGGCAGATCACATATGTTGAAACAGAACCTTTCCATGATCCGGAAACATGAGAAGGTAAGACTCTCATGCTGAGTTCCTGCATTGTATCTGTATTTGCTGTTCTTGTAATTGGAGAAGAAATCATAGAATGATTTATGGAATATAAGAATAGGTCCATCTTGTTCTGCCTGGTAAAACACAGCATTGAGCTTATCAATGAGTTCTGAAACAATTTCAACTTTGACTTCAGGCTGTAACAACTCTGCAATTGTCTTGCATGTTAATGGCCTTCCCACTGAGACGATTGTATAAAGAATATTCAGATCATCCTTCATTTCCTTTTCAATTTTAGTGGGAATAGCATCATCTAGTATTTTAACATAGAGTGTATTCAGATCCATCATATGTGCTGCATTTTCTATGCAATCAAGCAGCCTTGTTTTTTGCCTTGACATTCCATGTGGCTCTGTCACAAATCTCACCACAGTGGCTGCATAAATAAACAGCTGTTGTGATAACTTTGTGAGTATACACAGTTGCTCTTCTGTAGGAGATATGTGCTGAGGCTTGTTTTGGAAATAGACAGAAATATTCTTTTGAACTATATCTTCTGCAACATTATAAAGAACAAATTCCTTCATCCCGGACGCAGAGTAGGCTTTTACCTCAGCCTGAATCTTTGGCTCAGGCTGACTTGTTATGAAAAATCTCAGTCCCAGCAATTTCCCTTTGCTGATTGCTGAAACAAGTGGTTGTAATACCTTTGCAATATCCTGACACTCATCAAGAGCATCTAGCACAAGGACAGGATGGTAGATTCCCATCTGTGCAGCTTTGATGACTGCTTTCCATGTGTCAAGTCCATGCCTCGGGCCTCCATTCCGCCGTTTGGTACTCCGAAGATCCACCTTTTATTGTAATCTCTCCTTATTGTTCTTTCTCGCTACACATACCCTTTCGTTCTAGTCCCTCCTTATTGTCTTTTACTTTACCCTGCAGGTACTACATGTATAGCTCCTAGTAGTTAGTCTAGCGCTCCGCACCGATGCGCCGCTCCATAGATATAAATACTGCCTGTATGCTACTGTAGTTCCTCAGTTTAATTATCAACTTAGATCTTCCTTTCCAACTTAACCCTTCTCTAAGTCTTCAGGCTCAACGCCTTGAAGTATGTCTACTCTACCTTAGGACTTAGACGTTCTTTGGTTCGCTCCTCGTCACCAGCGTTACTGCCGCTCCGACTTGGCTGCTACTTAGCTCCTCCCTTCTATACTCTCAATCTCCGGGGACTAACGGCGTAACGGCGGTGTTGTTAATAACTTCACTACTGTCCCACTCGACCTCCCACTCTTAGACACCTTGTGGCCTCTGGCACTGTTACACGGTGTACATGATCTTAACAGTATAATTAAACTCAATCCGTTAACGTCGTACTGACATATCATTTTTTATGCCTCCGAAAACCCGAGCTCAATCAAAATACTTTCTTCACCACAGCCCAATCATTTGCCCCTTTCTCCGAATCCATTTCTGCCATCGGTCAACCACGTCGCCGTAATCGCGGTTTCGGTCCAGCCACAGTTCCTACTATGTTGACTCTTCCTGAGGCCATGGAAGAAGAAGAACAATTCGAATACAGTACTCTGTATACCGGTGACGGACAACCTGTCCAAGTTTTGACCCCTCATCGTGGACAACCCCCCGTGGTCGCTCCGGCTCGGGGCCAGTCTACTACTTGAATTGATTCTCCCATCCTCCAAGCCATAGCTCGTCGTACTGGAAAACAACCTCAACGTCGTGCTGCTTCAGAATCTCCTCGTGACCTGCCTCCTCACTTCGATCTGGATGCTGGTGATCACGATGATCTAGACCCTCCTGTCGACCCCAACGATCCGGGTGCCGACAACGATAACGACAATCTGGATGATGACTCCGGCAGTTTACCATGTGGTGAGCCTGGTGACCCCAGTGGACCTGGTGGACCCCGTTCCCCAATCTCTCCTGACATTGTAAGACCTGGGTCGGAATGGGTCTTATGGTAGAGATTGGTATATGAGGGTTTATGTTGTAGCGTGCTAGGAGCAGGCTGGAGCTCGAAGGGAGCTACGAGAACCGCGACCGAGGATGGGAATGACCTAGTAGTGGCTGGAACGACGAGATGGTGACCCTTGAGGGGGTTCCTAGGAGGTCCAGGGCAGTCCCTAAGGCGTAGGGAGGTTAGGTAAGAGTGCGGGACTGTATGGTATTGCGTAGTAGGAGTTGTACTTGCTAGAACGTCAATATAGGATCGAGTAGGTCGTAGATGTAAATGAGTCTCGAGGGTGTAAGCTCCCGAGAAGGTATATGCCCGGGAGGGTAGGTCCCTGGGGACTGGGCTTGTGGATGGACATCCTCGAGTGTGGGAGGTGGTAACGGAGAAGCAATACGTAGTTCGACGTGAGGGGTAGCTTCGACGTTACTTAGATCGAGGTCCCGAAGCTTACGAAGTAGCTAGGGAGCTCTGGGAGGTTTGGGGAAGGGTAGCTCACCAAAGCGTTTAGGTGTTGGGGAGCTTTAGTAATGTTTGAGGGAGCTCAGAGACTCACTCAGATGGCTGAGACTTGAAGTAAAAGTGTATATTCAATTGTATAGACGATCAGAGAGACAATAGACGAGAGTAAAGAGAAACAGAGGTAGAGAAACAGAGAGTAAAGAGAATTCCATATAGGTAGCAGGTACAAAGGGACAGGGACTGGACCTATGTAAAGGGTGTGTGTTCAAAATATACCAAGCTAGGGATGCTTATGTTACAGAGGATACTTATATAGGTGGGATGAATAGGTAACGGGACATTGTAATAAACGAGCATCTAATGGGGCTGGCGTGAAGTGTGGAACCCATGAGGCTAAATTGATAGGGGATTGTCCGGTGGCATATGCGAGTCGCGGAGCTGTCACTTCAGATGGAGGTTAGCATTGGTCGGGAGGTTGGCTAGGGTTCCATGGTTCATGGGGGTTTCATGGGAGGTTATTTGGGAGGTGTGAAGGAGCTGATACACGGTTCTGGGATGTCTAGGAGGGTAACAAGGGGAGCTTTTAGGGACAGGGCATGACAGACATCCCCAACGAGCAACGTGCTATGTTGGAACTCCTCTTGGGATTCAAGGGCTCCATTGAGACCCTTGGTACCATTCTCGCCACTCTCAGCCGTCCCTCTGACAGCTCTGAATCCAAGAGCAAGGTCAAGGAGCCAGAGGTATTTGACAGTTCGGACCCCCGAAAACTCAAGACATTCTTCGTCAATCTCGCCCTGGTCTTCAATGACCGTCCAAAGTACTTCACCGACCAACGGAAGGTGAATTATACTCTTTCCTATCTCAGTGGGTCAGCCAAAGAATGGTTTGTCCCCGATATCCTCGACCCGGATCTCGACTTGCTGCCGGCGTGGAGAATCCTCCTTCAAAGCTCTGGTTAAGGAGCTTCAGGACAATTTTGGCATTTACAATGCCCAAGGCGAGGCTGAAGATTCTCTCGGTAATCTAAAGATGAAGGAAACCAAGAACATCCGGTTCAACACCCTGGCTGCTAGTACCAACTGGGATCCTGCTGCCTTGAAATGGGCTTATGGACGAGGTCTAGCTGAACGCATCAAGGACGAAATGGCCTATTTGCCCAAACCAGCGACACTTGCTGATTATCATCAAGAGGTTCTTCGTATTGACTGTCACGAAGCGGCAGAGGCGGAGTGACTAGCGGAGCAGGAAGCGGGGTGACTAAGCCAGGCAGTGAGGCGGAGCGACTAAGCGGAGCGGAGGCGAACTGGTCCCAGATAATGACAGAGATATATTGAGTATCGTAGTCATAAGTAATAATAAGTAAGCACATACCTGGTCCCAGATAATGACAGAGAGGTCAAGATAAGGGACCAGGCTGTGGAGGGTTGGCTATATATACATAATCTAGTCTGCGAGAAACAATGATGTAATACTGTACAGTTCAGGGGCAAGGAAGGAGGCGGAAGCCAATAGAAAGAGAAGGTGGGTCAGGTGGATCAGTAATAGATAGATCAGTAATCGATGGAGATTGACAGCGATGGGATGATGTATTGTACAAGTAAAGGCGTCAAGACGGTGAGAAAGGGAAAATGATAGGGGCTGCGTACTTTATGACATTACCCCCCTCCTTATGACCATTGCCCTCGATGGTCAAGGTTTTGCCGCTGTCGGATGTTTTTTGTGAAAGCCCCGAACAATTTTTGGTGCCCGGCTGAGGTTGGGTGCGGGTTCCCAAGAGTTGTGTCCTGCATCGTAACCTTTCCATTTTACTAGATATTCCAACTTCTTCCATCGTACCCGACTGTCCAAGATCTCCTCCACTTCATATTCCGGTTCATCTTCATCTTCTAAGTACACCGG